AAATATGTTTAAATAGAATCAATATTAATTCTGAAAGGACTGAGTTAAATGTTTCTAATTAAGTCTCGTAGTGTAAGATTAACATTTTTAAAATTTAGAATTCAGCTTATGCCTTTCTCTTTAATATCATAAAAAATTGTTTCAAAAAATTCGATAACAACAGTATGACTTCTTTTATTGTACAAACGACAAGATACATTTCAAGGTGAACACGTGAAAATAAATTAGCAAAAAAATCTAGACTTAACCGCGAAAGTTAATAACCAGAAATAATAGATTATAAATTATAATCCTTTTGTCACCTTGAATACACGCTCACATCACTATTATAGGTTTCTCTACTTTCCCTTTTCTTCGTACGTTCGTATTCACCACCAATGAGACCGAAGTTGCTTGTGCTTACGCTACCGACGCTCAAACTACTGCCAGTATATAAACCATCTACGTCATGTCTTATACTAGGCTCTCTATCTTGATGTACTTGTACACTCGACACCTTTGTTATTATAATATTGTTCAATCCTTTAACACCACGTTTGCTTGCCAATGAACTCTCATTGGAGACTGCATTCTCACTTGCGTCACTAGAATCTGAATTTGATCTCGCATGGGATTTGGAAGAAGTGGCAAGTGCAACAAGAGCTTTGAGAGAACGGACACTTCCGAACACATTTGCTCCTGTGTTTCTATCTTCTTCGCCGTTGGAGTTGTCCGATTGCCTCTTTTCAAAATCACTGTCGTCTTCAGTGGATGAGAGTATATCATTCCTGGTTTTCTTTCGAATAGGTTCTTTACGCTTGCGACGATAATAGATCAATAAACATATGACTATTATCAAGGGTATTACTATGGCCAAAACAATTCCAACGACGATTTTCACAGAGGATTTGGAGGTGGAAGTATCCGAAGGATTTGTTGGAAGCGCGGTGTCAGAATGATTTTCAGTTGGCGAGGCGATAGTATTTGGTGACGGTTTATTACTTGACGGAAGAGTTGAATCACTGGACAACGATGGTGAACTTGAACTACTCGGCAATGAAGTTGAACTACTTGACGTTGACGTTGAATTGTCACCTATGTATCCAGGTTTACCCGGTGACCCAGGGGACCCAGGGCTTCCAGGAGATCCGGGCGTGCCAGGTTTACCTGGGTCGTTAGGTCCCGTTGGCCCTGTAGGTCCCGTAGGTCCCGTTGGCCCTGTCGGCCCCGTCGGGCCCACGGGACCTACAGGAGGTGACGGTAAGACGTTTTGCGTCGAAGTAGCCGAATCACGAACGACAAGGTTTTTTTTTATCAATGGAGATGATAATGAAGAAGGAAATGTAGAAGGGTACTCGGCTGTGAAGGAGGAAGCTGGTGCCGGAAATTGAATGAAATATTTGTATACAGTAATGAAATTAATAAAATTTTCTTTACGAGTCAAATCGCGTAAAAGGAGTATAGCTTGAGTTTTCTAACATTTTCCTAGCGTTCTACACCCTCTTTGCATACTTACCATTCGTATCATTACATTTACACTCAGCTACTAACAAATCCTTATCGCACTGATTTATTATTGGCACCGAATTTCTGGAATAACATACATCCGTACAAAGCGATGTGGATTGTGTGCACCAGGATATTATCGAAATTTTTGAAGATTCAGGATGTTGCGCTGTAAAATAAAAAAACAATTCTTTTTAGGATGACATATTATTGTACATTCAAATATCATATTAATGAAAAATTGAAAATTTTGTTTTGTCGCCATCTACTTCATTAGATGGCAAAAAGCATATACTATATTAATTCACTTGTTCAACTTGAAATCTGTAATTCCGAGAGATTTTGCAAACATGCTTTCTCGTTCGTTGTGAGCGTGTAAAATGCTACGATTCCATCCATAGATTTTATGACTCATTCATTTTATTAAATACGGTGGGATATCGCAAGAAAACAAGTTCAGATATGCCATTTCATCACTTACCATTTAAATGATTCGTTGGTGCTGCATCGCTTGGTAGATTTGAGATCAGCAACAAGTATAACAATATCGACGTCGATAAAAACTTCATTCTTTCTTTTGTCAAGAATAAATTTTCTTTGATGTGTATGATCTCGATTTCTGAGTATTTGTTTATGTTTCCTCCGTATATATATATGTAATATGTGTATAATTAAAATTATAATACAAATTAACTTATAATAATGTTATTTACGTGTTTAAATATATGTTTAAATAGAATCAAAATTAATTCTGAAAGGACTGTGTTAAATGTTTCTAATTAAGTCGAGGGTGTATGTATTAATGGGACGTATTCTCTTCAACGATGGTACCTTCACTAACGGACTCATGAAGGATGAACAGAAAAACGGACAGCTCGATTTATTGTGAATGAATGAAATTTGACGCTAATTGGTATTATGCATTATGTTGATAGTCTATACTGCATAAGATAAAAATGATAATTACTATTATTATATCCTCTAGTTTTCGGAATAAAAAAAAGGAACGAAGTCAATGGATACGAATAATAGTAAATTAAGAAAAAAAATTAAAGAAGTGCGATCCAAGAGGTGAGAGGCATATATATTTTTACATACCTCCCGTTTGTCCGCTTTTTTCACAAACACAATCGAAAGGCAACAAACAAATCCGTGTGAGCACGCAAAAATAAGTTGTTACACGAATTATATTGGTGTTACCTAATTCGGTAGTGAATTGGATTCACCTAATGAGGATATATCCGTAACATGCTAAGCAGACAAAGAGCGAAAATGCAAAATTTTAAAATGTTCCTATCAGATCAACTATTCGCCACTTCTTTTTTCGCGCAAACGAAGCTTTGTTGTAGATATCAGGGAGTTCTGATCTTAACTATTTTATTAATTAGATAAATATTTTCGTTTTGGACTTGATTAAAGCTCCGAAAAACTGTCTATTTACGGTTATTCACTTTTTAATATTTACAATTTGAAATATCATTTCCTGTACCTCGGTTTGTGGAAACATCGTTTTTTTACCTTACGAAGTTGGATTTAGGTACAGGGCATTAACATTACTTCATTTGTTAAATCATCCCACTTGTTTGTTGATAGTATGAAATTAAAATGTACTAACCTTTTGTAGAATTTAGCCACGCGGCTATTGATGAAATGTAGTACCCGTAGCCAGTCCAACAAATAAATCACATAGGATAATTGGTGCGGTTCAGTGTAAAATCTTTCCTTTTCTATCAATATACGTAGATGTACAACATTTCATTATTCCACACCTTATTTGCTTCGGCATATATGTGAAATAGACATTTTGTTAACACTTTCTTAATTGCCAAATTAAGAAATGTTAGTGAGTTTAAAGATCGATTGTTCTTAAAAAAAATAGGTTAAATATTTTATTATACTGTATATAGCATTTAATCATTTATAAATAAATTAAATACAATAAATATAATTGATATTTAAACAATAAAAAAAATTCTTTTAATATGCATGTATACTGTAAATAAAAATTATAATTTATTTAAAAAAATTAATAATAATAAAAAAATTA